ATCACGCTGTTATTTATGCAAAAAAAAGCAAGGCTAATGAAGTCATCTCCCTGACAGTTCTGCAGAAATCAAAATTGTAATGGTAAATCAAGTAATGGTCTTCAGCCATCATCAGTCTAAAACTGTGTTTTAATTTCTGAGTAAGTCAGTCTAAATTCTATTTATTTTTTATTTATTAAATTCAATTTTTATACTGCCCATTCCTTGAAGCATGGCTCAGGGCAGTGTACAATATATATAAATCTGTACCTAAACCTGGAATCTGTTCCCATCTGCCTATGTTGTTTTATGAAATCCTATGAAATATGACTAGCGAGAGCTTCCTCCCATGTATTTCCATCATTGCTCCCTGTTTTTTAATTCAAGACCTCTCCATCCAGTTCCACCACTTATTCTGCTATCATTCATGAACCAGCATCTCCCTCTAAATTGCCCCCATACACTTGCTTCAGCATTTACTCCAACTTCTTACTTTTTACTGGCCATAGGCGGACAATGGACTAGATAAAGCCCAGATAGGCCGTGTAAAATACATTTGTTAGATGTTCTATAAACAACGTTTTAGGCAGTTATTTCCAGTTCATCTTTTGGCTAATGTGGGCACTGCTACAGGTAAGCGGAGAGAAGTAGTGAGCGACCACCACCAGCTTGTCATATAGCTTTGCCCTCCATAGACCAGAAACTAGGTCAGTCTTGAGAACCAGCATCTCCCTCTAAATTGCCCCCATACACTTGCTTCAGCATTTACTCCAACTTCTTACTTTTTACTGGCCATAGGCGGACAATAGACTAGATAAAGCCCAGATAGGCCGTGTAAAATACATTTGTTAGATGTTCTATAAACAACGTTTTAGGCAGTTATTTCCCGTTCATCTTTTGGCTAATGTGGACACTGCTACAGGTAAGCGGAGAGAAGTAGTGAGCGACCACCACCAGCTTGTCATATAGCTTTGCCTCCATAGACCAGAAACTAGGTCAGTCACTTCTGTTACACTTGATTCTTGGAAGACCAGTAGGCCTTACATTCATATCTTTCCTTCAGGTAAATAGTGGTGTTGTTTATGATATAATGCTTTAGTTTTTTGGGTTTTCCCCTGGTTTGCTGTAGTTTGCCTAAATACATGAAGTTAAGACTATCATCAAAAAGTATATTTGTACAGGTGTTATTTTTAGAAATTATAGTTTTGGCATTCTCAATGTCTAAGTTATTCATACCATTCTAAATAATGCCATGGTTACTGTGTTTTCATACTTCATTTGGGCACCAAATTAAAACCAAACAACTGAAACTTCCTTTGTATAATATCTTTAATGTGCATTTTGAAGTACATTATGTAGGTTTTAAAGCAATATTTAAAATTGGTACATTATGAGAAAAAAAGCACCTTTTAAGTGCCTATTTTCTGGAGTAGGGAATACAAGACTGACTTAATTAAAAGCTGTGCAGGGAAAAAAATGAACTAATAAAATGTTACTTTTGTTAGGTGTGGCTGGAGTTAATTGAGCAAGATCTTCATTGTCTAGAAAGAGATAAATAAGCTAACTGAAGCAGGCTTATGAGACAGCTGTTCTAGCACCCTGTCATAATATAATAATTTTCATCCCGATATGAAAAAGATACCCTTTAGGTTCAGGTGGGTGGGGTGGGATTATTCAAATCAATTTGCCAATGGAAGACAGGGAACAAGGAAGAGAACAGAACTAAGGAAGGACAGATGGGTATAGCAGTAAAATGGATTGTCTCTTCCTCAGTTTGATTTGTTGTTCTGCCAGAATCAGCTTTATTTAATTGAAATGAATATGCTTTGCATGTGCCTGTCAAGCCAAATTGACCTGCTACTTACTAAGCCATTCACATCTTTCTTTTATGATCAGTATGCCACTGTCAACTTGGTTCAGCGGTTCCCAATACTAATTTTTCAAGTAATTGTATGGCCTTTGTGCCCCTCGGAGTCATTAATGCCTCCAACAGTAATAGGTCTAGACTTCTGTTACCTTTTACATACACTTTCAATTACGGCTAACCACAGTAACAATGACTGAGCCAATATTTTCTTCACAGTGATAGTCTGCTTTCACAAATAATTTTGAAAATGCAGTCAGTATTGATACGTATTTTCCCATAGAAAAGGAATTCCCTTTTTGTTTTCTGAAAGTAGAATTCTGTGATATTTGAAGGATTTTTGAACAGGATGAAATCCATTATGTTTGCCATAAAATACAACTTTTGCTTAAGGTTACACTGCCTTACAAGACTGACTTACAACTATTTGTTCTAGTGTTGTATAGTTTAATGTTAAGCCCCAAGGTTGATGGTGATGCTTGTTCTTTTCTCAGCATTTTGCATGCACGGTTGGAATCACATCAGATAGGATATACATATACATGTATGATAAGATGACTTAACTGTATGCAGTGAATGCTGTGTGAAAGTAGGGCTATGGAGCAGTCTAATATTGTGTGGAATAGGCCTCAAATGTATAAAGCTTTACTTACTAAACACCTAAGGTAAGTGCTGCATCAAGACATACAAAGAGTTTTAAGATTCCTCACTTGATTCCGCCCTTCCAGTAGTACGAGAGGACCTTTGTAACAACTGAATATGTATGTTTAAACCTGTTTGATGTAGTGATGCCATAACTAATAGAACATCTTTTATTTGACTAAATAAAGTAGAGCCTTCCGTGGGCATTACAATACCATTAGCCCACGGAAGGCTCTACTAGATACTATAGCTATTATGAATGTTGAAAATCATCACTGATATCTTTGAAACGTCACCAGAGGAAATGAATCATTGAGAGACAGTATTTGTCTCACATCTTTGTTCAGAAGAAGATCAACCATCGAGACGGCAAGACATTCCGGAGACCACCTTCAGTTTTCTATTCTGTATATTATTGTACATTTATTGTAGAATTTTGATTCTTTAAAGTAAATTATTAAGCGTCACATTGTCACAGGTCTTTTTGGTTTTCGTATCACCAGTTTTATAGCCTGAAATAAAAACATACTAGTATAATTCAGGTGGATAGCCATGTTGCTCTTAAGCAACAGAACAAATTTTTGAGTCCAGCGGCACCTTTAAAACCAAAAAAGTGTAATTCTGGGTATAAACTTTAGTGTTGTATGCACACTTCTTCATATATGGATACATGGCAAAGAAGCCCTGCGTATATTGCACCAGGCATTCAACAATTTTCACCCCACTATCAACCTGATAATGAACCAATCTATGCAAAAAATAAGTCTTTTCCAATTACAGAACTGCATTTTTGGATGCAGTACTGTGATGGGGGAAAATTAGTAACAGGCCTCATGCATTTGGTAGCCACAGTTTAACCCCAGTTTGTTAGAAAGTTACAAATATGCATTCAGTGGTATTGTACTTCCTCCCCCAGTATAGTGGTAGAAATTCACCACTTTCCCCAAGGTTGGGAAATATGCATCTAATTATGAGGAGATCCAAAAAGTCTTCTCTAAGATTAATAATTCAATGAAGTTGAATCCCTTATTCTGGTGCAAGGATACTCTTGGGTCCAATTTATTATTAAAAAAAGAAGTGAAACATACTCTGCTCAAGGGATTGCCCAATAACCCACTTTATCATAATAATGGATACATTGTACCCTTTGAAAACCAGGAGATGGACCCAAGTATTTACCAGCACTAAGATACTTGGTATTGGTCCACAAATGCCTTTGAAATCTCCACGCAAAGTTCAGCAGTTCACTGAGAAGAGACACCAGAATCATTAGCTTTGAATAATAATCTTTATTAGTGTATTTTAAAAGGTACATGATAATCCTGAGCTACTGCTTTCATACATTGAACATTATACAAAGACTTTAATGTACAGTTTGAAGGATATTTATTGTGCTCCAAGTTCTCATCCAAGCATTGCTTTGCCCCCAAAAGGAATACAGGTAATTTAAAATACTATATACAACCCTGGAACAGCCACATTAATCTACCCTCTTGACCCCCATTATCTAACGACTACTGTATCTAAAGAGCTCAGGGTGTTCCTTCAGAATTTAGAAAAACTTCACATAAAACTTGGGCAGTGCAATAACTGGTCCCCTTATTTTCTTATGAACAGGCTTCATGAAAATTACATTTACCATCTGACTAGTTATCAGTATTATACTGACCAGTTATACATTGATGGAATGATTAGAGTAACTGTTTACTCTATTCCATTTCATATCAATTAGTGTAAAGCTATAATATCTCCCTTTGCAGTGAACAGAGAATTATTCTCCCATTAGGGGAAATAACCCATGATCCAAACAGCAAGAGGTAATCCTACATCACCCTATAGTCAACTACATTTATAAAACAAGTCATATCAAATACTTCCCTTACATAGACCCTGTAAAGGAACTCATACAAATAACTGTTCCATAAATCCAATCATGGCTTTAAGGATTTTCCTGTAAAAAGGTAAAAAATATTAAGTCCCAGGGTCCTTCAAAGAAAGAAAAAAAATACCCAGTGTGAATTTTAATTGTGGATAAAAGAACTTTTAAAAGTCTACCAAAATATTGCATCTCTTGACCTGGAAATCTGAAAGCATACGGTGTTTACAAATGATATCTAACAAAAGCTCCACTCCTCAAAAATGATGCACACTCAGTAAAGCCACTCTGATCTTAAGCAAAAGTTACGGTAAGCAGTCCAAGCAAGATGCTTATTGCTTAAATTTTAAAGCAAGCCACTTTGATTGTTTTTAAAGTGTACTTACAAATGTGAAGCAGTTGTAGAAACACTTATAAACACTTCTTGCTTTTGCATACATATACCCAAATGGCACAGACCAATGTTTTATACAGAAAAAGAATACTGTAGGATGGAGTTCAATACAGCAGTACTTTTAAGACAGATGTATGATTATGTAAACAAAAGCTTTAGTATTCAGAGCTTGGGAATCTAGCAGCAAAACAAATGATTTGCATATAATGTAGTGCAATTAACATTTGTTCTTAAAGGATGCCCAGTCTTTAAACTACTTGTAACAGAATGGAAATGTTAAAGGAAAAAGTTTAAATTATTTTGCTCATATTATCAGAATTCTAGAGATTCCCGCTTTCTATAAGCTACCATTAAGAAGACTATGCAAAACTGTGTTCTGGATAACTGACTTTTATGGCTCCCCAATAACAAGCTCGAATTAGGCAGACCAAGCCTAAGAGATAAGCAATAGCCCAAGAAACATATGTGGCATGAAAATTTCTGGCAAAATCTTGTGTACCGACCTATATAAAAAGAAGGAAAAGAACAAGAAAAGCACAAATAATTAATATTTTGATTTTAAGATGTCAGATGTTTTATATAAATTAAGATTCATATAAAAATGAAAAATAATTGGCATGGAGCATTTGGTCTATGTACAACACATCAGTGCACAAACTCACTTTGGCCACACAGGGACAGTCCTGCCTTATGAGGACCAAACTATATGATACCACATCCCAAGTCCACAACGAGGGTACAGCACCATTTTAGATCTCTTTGTAAAAAAAAAAACAATTCTTAAAAATACTGCAGGGGACTATGGTGCAGGGAGAGATGATGGGCTCCTGTCTTCACTCCCATGCTTTTTTCAAGAGCCAAGTGGTGGACTCAGGAACACAGTATTGTCTAATTTGGACCAGAAACTGCTGCTATCTAGGTCATTCTACACTCCAGAACATGCTTTTCTATGGTGGAGAAACAATTACAGTATTCTGGTTTATGAAAAGAAAAAAAATCAGTGTGTTCAGTGTAGACCAGTTCTTTACAAGGTGCACCAATAAACAATAGCCCCAGTGAAACTAAACTTATTTGGGGCTGTGTGATAAATGGGTAAATATGGGTATTAATTTTTTAAAAACTTTATTATACCCTTTACATTTATTGCTGTAATACATTTATTACATCAAAATATATATAATTCTCAAAGTGGCCAAGTTTGTGGCCACTTAAATCTAGAGACAAGAGGCAGGAACAAACAGACCTTTTTTACAAGTCAAGACAAGCCTCAAGGTTTGCAGAAAAATCTAAAACACACCGGGGGGCGGGGAATCCCTCCAAATAATAGAAGCACACCTGTGGGTTTAACAAACAAAGGTACTCAGTGGCCGTTTCTAGCATCTACCACTGTACTGCCAGTTTAAGCCTTCGTTGTGTCAGTATAAGGCACGGGGGAGAGGCAGGGCCCTTTCCAGGGCTATTTTGGCTTTGAGGAGATGGCTCACTGGAGCTAGGTCCAACAGCTGCCACTATGTGACTTGCAACCACTCAACTTGCACCCAGGCCTGGCTGCCTGCTACTGTGCAGCAGCAGCCACCCCACAAAGGCCAGTGTTGCGTAGTGGTTAGGGTTTCATACTAAGATCTGGGAGACCCCAGTTCAGATCCCTAGTCTTCTTTGGAAGCTCACTGGGTGATCTTGGGCCAGTCAGCCTAATATAATAATCACAGGGTTGTTGTGAGGATAAAATGGAGGGTGGGAAAAGGGAGTAAGCTGCTTTGGGTCCCCATTGTGAAGGAAGGTGGGATATAAATTAAGTAAGTAAATAATAAATATAATTGAAGATGGGGGGGATGGAAAAAAAGTAGACTGGCTGAGAGAAGGAAGCAGGGAAAGGTTAGGATATGAAGGGTGCAAGAAGATGGAAATAGGGTGGGGAAGGGGATATGGGGAAAATGAGGTGCCCTATGCAAGTCTTGTGAGTTCCCACCATCCATCTGGGCACAATAGCCAGCAGTGCACAACTTGTCCAGACTTTTCCCAGGGAGAGGCTGCCAGAAGGAGGGAAAGTTGAAGATGGGGTGGGATAAAGGTAGGTTGGTTGATGGGTGGGAAAAAGAAGCAGCAAATGGGGAGAAGGTATGGAGGTTTTCAGGAAATAGAATAGTGGGGGGGGGACGAGCCCCCCCCAACAAGCCCTTGCAGTCCCCACTTGTCATTGCTCTAATTTCAAGTCTATGGGGGGAAATATCATCCATTATAACATTCCAACTGTTTTATGTGGAATTTTGCTATCCTTGCTATATTGTCTTTAAGAGGAACAAAAACAAACATTCAAAGTGACTAGTACCATCAATAAAGATTGGGTTTTTTAAGTAATGTATTTGCAAACTGATCATATGGTTGTATATACAGAGTTCAGTGGTATTTATTAACAGATAAGTGCATGGGACAGGAGCCTACATTAGAGCAGCACATTCCTACTACTGTTGAAGACAAAATATGCAGAGATAAATCTGTGTAACTGTTCAGGATTAGTGGAAGTTTAGGAAACCAGGACTTGCATTTTTCCCTATGTGCCAGCATGCTGCTTCCTTTGTTACAGTTGACATCAGCAAGAGCAAGAGAGGCAGCTGTCAGATGGAGATTTTACTCCAGTTTGGTATCCAAATGAGAGTGGGTTTTATGGAACATGCATACATTATCCCCAATCATCCATTTTTCCATTATATTTACACAAGAAAGGGAGTAAAAAATTTACTGTTTTTACAAATGAAAGCTGGGAATTTAGAAGAGATGATAGATCATTATAATAATGTAATGCTATAGCAATATATCAATTTCCAAATTTCACAAAATTTCATAAAAGCCCTTGGTGGCATAAGGGGAATGGTGGCTGTGGAGAAGCGTGGAGGCTGCAGCAGAAACCAGATTGATAGCATCAGAGTCATATGAGATGGACTGTCAAGGGCTAATGCCTAACAGAGTCTGAGAACCTTTGAGTGACAGGCTGTTCAAATGGAATTCTGTGGAGAGTGTTAGTTAAGAAATGACAGTTGGGAACTGGCCGTTGAAGAGACAGTTTAGCTCTGACTGTGCAGTGGGAAAGGGGCATAAGGAGTGAGTGTATCAAGGAGGTTCCCCATTCAAGCCAAAAAGGGAAATTGGTTCTAGTGAAGAGAAGTAATCCCTGCTCAGTGAAAAGGGAAATAGCTCTTGGGGGGGGGGAGTGATCCCTGGTCTGTGTATATAGAAGGATTTTGGGAACTTGGTTGTATGTTCCTGCCTTCTAGACTAAAAGTTGGTGAAACTCAGAAACTTATGCTAGAGTATTTAAGGAGAAACTGAGAAGAAAGCCTCTCTCCTCAAAGTTTTAAAGACCTTGTTGAATAACAGAAGCACTCGTTGGCAACAAATTATCTGGGGTTAGTGTGATAACAAAACAAAATTCAAGTCCAGTGGCACCTTAAGACAAACAAAGTTTTATTCAAGGTATAAATTTTTGTGTGCATGCAACTTTGTTGGTCTTAAAGATGCCACTGGACTCAAAATTTGTTCTGCTGATTCAGACCAACATGGCTACCCACCTGTGATAACAAAGTTACCTCAGTTTTTATAATCTGTTCACCTCATACATCCTACACTTGATTCTATCTGACCTTTTCTCTTCTAAGTTAAATAAAATATTTTGTTTATTTGGCACTTTCCAAAGCCCCTTGTGTGCCATTTCAGAAGTAGAATGTAAGATTTTGTCTCTTTCCTCAGTTCCCTGGGTTGGGCCAGCATCAAAATATATAGAATAAAGTGACTGGATGGGACAGCCATAGACAAATAAGAAGAAAAAAGATAAAATGGCTGCTCAGCAAGAAGGAAGGGGGGGGGAATCCTGTGTGTGAGGGAGGGAAGAGGGTGAGATCACTATATCATGTATTTAAACATGATGTTTTACATGGAGGGCATGGGGATAGGGATAGAAGAACCCCCGCCCCTTAGTTATACCCTCACAGTCTTTAGTGGGAGAAAGGGACATGGGGAAGTGGCTGCATGTACCTGAAGAGCCCACATACTCTGGACTTTTCAAATTGCACCCCTCCTCCTGATCTAGATATGATTGGGGCAGACCCATATCTAAGGATACTGGTAGCTGCCAACACGTGTTTGGGCCATGGGAAGAGGTGTTTCACATCAATACAGAACAGCTGCTTTCCCATGTTTATTCTTAAAGATTGTTTCTGCAGAATAACCTAAAGAATCTGAAGGGTAAGTGAAGTGTTTTTAAAATATATTTTGATGGGTATTTGCAAATTCTTTATTTTTAGGATACATTATCAGTACACTAAAGATTCCCAGAAGTTTAAAAATGACTAGCTAGCTACAAAAATACTGCTGGCTTTGTTTAACTGCAGCATACAAGTAATCATGCCACTCACAGTTAATCCAACTCCAATGAAGATAAATATCATTCCAATGGTAATATATGCACAGCAGCGTCTTCGTGGGAGTGCACATCCAACAGAAGAGCTGAAAACAAACAGTACAGCAGGACAAAAATTAAACACAAAGGTTTGACATGGAATTCAGAAATATTTCTTTAAATGCACCTGATACAGGAAATGGGCCCTAAAATGACAAATGGGTGAAGGATTGCTAAGGAAAACTGCAGTGAAACTGAATGAATTCTTTGCATTCATTTTCACTGGTGGAGAATATGAACTTTTTATTTCTCTTCCATAATGCTAGGATTTGCAGGCACTCAGTGAAGCTGATGAGCAGCAGATTCAGGTCAGAACAACAAAAAAGTACTTTTTTCATTCAAAGAGTAATTAGTTTATGGAATTCACTGCTATAGGAATGTGATAGCAATGTCTAGCTTAGTTTGCTGTAAAAGGGGATTAGAAAAATTCATGGAGGACACGTCATCAGTAGTTATTAGCAACTATGACTAAATGGATCTGCTGTGCTCAGAAGAAGTATGCCTCTGAATAACAGTGTTTAGGGGCCACAAATGGGGAGGCAGGACCTCCACTTTTTCTCTGCTACCTACTAGGAACACACACAGCCTTTTAGCTCAGCCACTCCACTACACAGATCTTTTCTACAAGGGCAAACCTCCCTCATCTTAACCATCTCCTGATCTTCTTTGTGGTCTCTGTGCATCACACCTCTGGGATATAGTGCGCTTGCGCTGACCCCAACCGGTATAATGGAAAGCAAAAGGGATTTTCGCGCCTGCTCCCCAGTCACATGCCGGGCTCCACTGCGCATGACTAGGGGAGAGGCACGATGATCCCGCCAGTTCTCTTCTGACCACCACACTGATAGGATCTTCTCTGCCTCGGTCGGTAGCAATTTTGGCGATGTTGACCGATCAGTGCTGAAACGCTCGATTCTAGCATCGCAGTCCAAAGCCCATACTCCCTCAAAAAAACCCAAAAAAACATGAGGGCAAGGACGATCGGCCTATCAAGTGTAAGAAGCACAAGAAAGGCTCTCTCAGCAAAACTCTGTGGACTCCTCACCGAGCTGAGGTAGCCACGACATCCAGAGCCGCTTCACTTGATTTGCTTGGCTGTGGGCAGCTACAAGGTGCACCTAAGTCGCCTTCTCTTTGCCCCACCCAGTCCATTGATTCTGATCAGGACATGGACTTGACCCAGGTTCCTCGCTCCCCCGGTGTCGAGAGCCTGCATCTAGAGCAAGGGGCGAACGCTGTTCCCCCTCTGCCACTGTTCGGCCCCGATGATCGGGATTGACTTACGGGATTCTTTCAGCCCCCTCCTGCCTGAGACCAGCAGCAGTGGCAGTACATGTATGGTGCTTATCCCTTCACTGGAGCGATGCCATGGCTTCCCCCGCACCCTCCAGACTGGGACTGCCACTCTTCTTCCTCCCTGCTCTCGGTATCGAGACCCTCCCCCGGCACCGGAGTTTATTGAACCTCGCCGGTCGCAACAGAGTGCTAAGCGTCCCGCTCTACAGGCGTCGGCATCAAAAAACTCAAGGAACCGTCGGAGCCGGTGCTGTCAACACCGATCCTCCAAATGTCATTTTCCAAACTTTCGAACCGTTCCAGTTCCTCCGATTCTTCTCAGTCGGGTTCGGAGGGTCTGCGCCCCCCACCAAATGAGCCTTCCCCTCCACAGCAAGTGGGAGATGATCTTCCAATTTCTCTATCGGAGGACGTTAAATCTTATGGGGACTTTGTTAAGCGAATGGCTAACAGCCTAGCCTTGCCTACAGTTCAACCACCACTGGCAGTTACGGACTCAGTTTTTGATATTGTCCAGATGGACACCTTGACGGCAGTCGCTCTCCCCATGACTTTGGTCTTGCTACAGACTGCCAAGGCTCCCTGGTCTCATTCCTTTGTCCATCCCTATTTCTAGCAAACAGATAGAGCATATGTATAAGGTGCAAGAGACTGGAGCAGAGTTCCTTTTTATCCACCCGAAACCGAATTCCGTTGTGGTGACTTCTTCTGCTAAAGGCAAACGCAGCCATTCTTCCCTTTCCGATAGGGAAGGTAGGAAACTTGACTCCTTCGGCAGAAAGTTCTACACGGCCGGTGCGATGGGCATTAAAACCTCCATTTATGCTGCCTGTATGGGCCAATAACAGTATGCCTTATGGGAGCAGATGTCAGAGTTTATCGCTGCTCTCCAGGATGATATCAATCTCCAAGCCAGACATATCCAGAAGGAAGGCATGCTTCTGGCAAAACAACAACTCAATGCTTCCAAGCATACGTTAGATGTCGCGGCAAAGACCCTCACTTCCTTGTTTGCCCTGCGGCGTCATGCCTGGCTGTGCTCCTCGGCATTGCAGCCAGACACCAAGACTATTGTTGAGGATCTTCCCTTCAAGGGCTCTTTAGCTCCACTACCGATACCGTGCTTCAAGAGCTCGGTAAAAGCATCAAAATGTCTCGTAACCTGGGAGTCACTTCAGGTGCTAAATATACTAAGGGGAAAACTTGGTCCAAGCAGTGGTCCCGTAGATCATCAAAATCCTTTCCTGAGCCACACTGGGAATGTTCCCCTGGCAGCTCTTCTCGACCTTATGGGTGAAAATCTAAGTTTTCACCTGCTTCCCTATCCAGAGCGAAAGCTCCTAAAGTTTCTAAGCAGAATCTTTGACGTCAGCCTTGTCAGGTAACCCTGTCATAGGTTTGGAATGTGGAGGGGTGCCTCCCGTTTTCTGTCTCAGCTCTCCTTGGCTCACCAACTGTTTGCTATATTATGCTTGACCTTGTAGATGCTCCAGCTGCAGTTTTTCTTGGCTGGGAAAGTTAACGGCTTTTGCTTTGCCTGCTTGCTTCGCCCGCATGCGTGAGATGTATCCATTGGCTCATGCTTACAGGGGGGATGTTTGATTCTAGTATAAGTCAGAGGCCCTAGTATTGGCGGCCATTCCTAAAATAAGCTGTACACGTGTCTCTAGTACTGGATTTACCAATAAACAGTTATCTTCTCGTGAAGCCCTGTGTTGCGTAACCTAAGGACCCTGACAAGCATCTTCCAAGTGTCTCACACCCACCTGTCTATGTTCCTGTCCTCCTGGAAACTTATAACGTCTGTGTTGTGTAACCTAAGGACCCTGACAAGCAAATTATCAAGGCGGGGTACCTCATAGAATTTTCCCAACTTCCTTCGGCTGCTCATTTTGTTGTCATCCCTACTTCAGCTGTTCTATTGGCGGAAGTGCAAACCCTTCTTCAAAAGGATGCCATAGAACCGGTGCCTGTAGCTCAACACCAAGAGGAGTTCTATTCTCGCTACTTTACGGTCCCAAAGAAGAATGGAGGCCTCCGCTCCATAATGGACCTCAGAAACTTGAACTGTTTCATCATTTACAAAAAATTCAGGATGATGTTACAAACCATTCTTCCACTCCTGAATTGAGGGGCGTGGATGGTGACATTGGACCTCAAGAATGCTTATTTCCATGTCTCCATTCACCCTTCCCGCCATATGTTCCTCCATTTCATGGTAGGAAACAGACATTTCCAATACAATGCTCTCCCTTTTGGGCTATCCACAGCCCCAAGGCTTTTCACAAAGATTATGGTTGTTATCATAGCATACCTCTGTTTAAAGGGCGTTCAAATTTTCCCATACATCGATGGTTGGTTGCTGGTAGCGAACTCCAAGACATCCCTACTCAACCACATTGAACTGATCTTGACCACCCTGGAATCTCTGGGCCTCAAGGTAAGCCTAAAAAAGTCAATGCTCCTCCCTGCCACGCGGGTGCAATTTATAGGAGTGATTCTGGACTCTCTACTGTGCAAAGCATTTCTCCCTCCTCAGAGAGCATGGGACATTGTCTATTTAGTGGACCTCTTCCACAGGACGGGAAGTGCCACTGCAAAACAAATTCAATAGCTATTGGGCTTGATGGTGGTTACCACCATTGTGATTGTCTTTGCCAGACTCCACATGTGGCCACTGCAACTGTGGTTCTTCCAGAAATTTCATCCACAACGACAACCTCAGTCCCTTCGACTTGTCCTCCCACTGAAGGTATTGTTCCCTACGTGGGTGGACAGACCCTTTGAATATCTTGGCAGGAGCGCTGTTCCACCCACCCACTTCTACAATGACGTTGACAACAGACGCGTCTCTGTGGGCTTGGGTGCACATCTCAAGGGGCTTTGCATTGGGGCTCAATGGGAGTCCCATGTAGCCCACCATCACATCAATTTCCTCGAGTTGCTGGCCATGCAGTATTGCACTCAGATCTTTCTGACACCTGGTGGCCCATCAGGTGGTCACTGTCCTCACCGACAACACCGCGGCCCCGTGTTATATCAACAGGCAGGGAGGCACGATTTCCAGAGCACTGTGCTGGCTGGCCCTGGACATATGGGATGAATGCCAGTTGTGGAGCATGTTCCTGAGAGCCGCCCATCTTCCAGGAACTCTGAACGTACAAGCGGACTTCCTGAGCAGAGGAGGTGCGTCGGGCCATAAGTGGGAGCTCAACTGGAGCTACCTCCAACCGATTTTTCATCTCTGGGGCCGTCCAGAGGTGGACGTGTTCGCAACATGCCAGAACAGGAAATGATGTCTGTTCTGCTTCAGAGCGGGGACCGATCCGCTATCTCCTCATCCCGTGGTCACACCTGTACGTGTTCCTTTTTCCTCTGATTCCTCTGATCTCCAGAGTACTCGTCAAGGTGATGCAGGAGAAACCACGTTGTCTTCTGGTCACTCCCTGGTGGCCCCGGCAACACTAGTTCTCCCTTCTGCTTCATCTATCCAAGGGCTCCTTCATCCACTTCCCCCCAGCTGCGGATCGCCTCCTTGCAGGGAAGGGACAGATACTGCATCACGATGTGCAGCGTCTCAAGCTCACAGCTTGGAGAATCCTCTTTTGACAGTTAGAGACAGGATAGAGCATGTCCTATTGAACTGTCATAAATCATCTCCTCGAACGTCTTATGATGGGAAGTGGAAGAAATTCCTGTCCTACCTGACTTTGTCAGGATTACCACCACCACCCATCGGACCTGATGGCGA